GTATTGTTTGTTACGATATTATACTGTATTGTATTGTATTGTTTTGTATATCGAGTTGTATTGCATTTAGTATCGAATTGTATCTAACTATTTTGAATTTCCTCGAATTGTGTTTCATTTCGTTTAGTATCGAAATGTATCGAAATTGTATCGAGTTGTACCGTACCTACTGTTTCGAATTTTATTTTGGTATCGAATTGTATCGATCTTTTTTTTTTGTATTGTATCGACTTGCATCACGTCGTCTCGTCTCGTCTCGTCTCGTATTGTTTGGTCCCGTTTCGTATATAATCGACATATATAATGTCGGACTTTGTAATCATCGAAGATTTTGAAAAAAAGTTGGGTCATAAAAACGCGTTTTTTAAATAAATAAAAATCGAATCGATCGTTTTTATTGTCTTTTTTTAGGGGAGGCTCTTTCTTATTTAGTATCTTTTTTTTTGTCAAAAACAACGCTAATTTCGATCATAATAAATGTAATTGTTTCCAGCATAAAAATGCAAAGAAATTTTAATTGATGTTACGATGACGTGTATGTATAAAATAATTTTTCGCTAAATAAAAAAAATTAATTATTTCTTCTGCGTTCGCGTTTTTTATTATGTTATAATTATGGTTATAAAAACGTATATTATTATTATTGCTGTTATCACCATCTATCTATCTATACATTCGTTCATTCATTCATTCATTCATATATTCGTCCATTCATTTACCGAACCATTCATTCGCCCACCTATCCATGGATACTTCCTTCCGTCTATCCATTCATTAATTCATCCATCCATCCATTCATTTATTCACCTACTTATCCATCCAACTATCCATAATTTCTATTAAAAATTTGAAAAAAAAACAGATTCATGGGCTTTCCCTAGCACCACAATGACGTAATCAAATTTTACCGGACGTGACGTAATAATGGGCCAAATAAAAGCACGCACCTACACACACATACACACACGCACATTCATACATATACACGCACACATACATACACACACACACATATACACACGCCCCCCCCCACACACACACATACAAACAAACATAAATATATACACATAACACTCTAATAAAATATAGTAGGTAGAGAGAAATAGAGAGATAGATAGAGAGAGAGAGGAGAGAGAGAAGATAAGTAGGTAGATGGAAAAGTTGATAAATGTTTAATAGGGGGGAACTTTTTATTCTTCGAAACGGTATCATGTAAGTAAATAACAAAATGGCGGTTTTTAAACTAGGAAAAACCCCGTAAACATTGATTAAAAGAATGAATAAATGAGTGAGTGAATGAGCGAATAAATGAACGAACGAACGAATGAATAAACGAATGAATGAATGAGTGAATGAAGGAACAATCGAATGAATGGAACGCTCTCACTGTGGTTAAATCAAAATGGCACCGAAGATATGATAGGCTAAGATGAAATAAATAAATAAAAAACATCAGCCATAGAAATCGAAATTGAATGCACTAAACAATATGGGCGTTAACACACATACACACAAGCACAAGTACACGCACACGTACACACATACACGCACACACTAACACATGCATACATTTCTTTCTTTGCCAGTCCGAACGTGCAAACGATAATAACTCAATGATATTAAAATAATAAAGCAGAGATACATTGTTGTAGACACGCAAAAACATACAAAATAGAAACATACATACTGAAACATACATACAAACTCACAAACAAACATACATACATACAAACCTACAAACACAATGACATACAAAAAACTAGATATAAATATATAAACACACTCACACATATACATACATTCTCTCACACACGCACATACATACATACATACATACATACATACATACATACATACATACATACATACATACATACATACATACATACATGTAACGTAGTTGAAGTCATCCCTCAAAACTTATAGCTTTACACCGAGTTAGCCCGACACAATTACCTAATTTTTGAATTCTTCGCGTACGTGCGTGCAAGTCCGTGCGAATATGTGCGTCTGTGTGTTTGTATGTATGTGTGCTTGTATGTATGTGTGTTTGTATGTGTGTTTGTATGTAAGTGTGTTTGTATGTGTGCTTGTATGTAGGTGTGTTTATTGATTTTCGGAGTTTGAGAAGTTTTTCCTCGTTTCATCACTTCAATTTGTTCCTTGCTAGAGAGTTAATATCGATGTGAATGTTAATATTCTTATTTCTATTGTTATTGTTGTTAGTATTATTAATATCGTTGTTGTTGTTGTTATTGTTGTTGTTATTATTGTTGTTGTTGTTGTTATTATTATTATTGTTGTTGTTGTTGTTTTTTTCGTCCCGACTCGACAGGTCGGAAAAAGTTTTTAAGAGTATTGTATGACTTTGGGAAAGCCAGTCACAGAACTTGAGCCATCCAATCGATGATGATGATGATTGTGATGTTGTTCTTTCGTTCGTTCGTTCGTTCATTCATTCATTCATTCATTCATTCTTTCATTTATTTTATTCATTAATTATATCATTCCATCATTCCTTCATTCGGTTATTTTATTTTATTTCGAAATCGCAATGACATTCAAGAAATAACATTGCATATGTGAATGTATATGTGTATATATATATATGTTTGTATGTACGTTTGCATGTATGCGTGTGTGTTTGTGTGTGTGTGTGCACGTGTAACCCGAATTTTAAGAAAAAGCGAATTCATAATTTGGTTTCGGGTATATATTTATGAGTTATTGTACGTATATAAATTGTTTGCATGTCTGTTTGTATGTATGTAGGTATGAATGTTTGTATGCATGTATGTATGTGTGTGTGTGTGTACGTGCGTATGTATGTGTGTGTGTGTGTGTGTGTGTGTGTGTGTGTGTGTGTGTGTGTGTGTGTGTGTGTGTGTGTGTGTGTGTGTGTGAAATAAATAGGTCAGATTAATATTCCCCTCCGTCCTAATAATTTTTTTTATTCCAAACTTTTTTTGTTTTAACGAATGTTAAGGAAGAGTAATTACGAAATATTCGTAATAATAATAATAATAATAATAAATAGTAGTAGTAGTAGTAGTAGCAGTAGTGGTTGCTGCAGCTGCATTAGTAGTAGCAGTAGAAGTTGTGGTACAAGTAGTAGTAGTAATAGTAGCAGTAGTAGTAGTAGTAGTAGTGGTGGTAGTGGTAGTAGTAGTAGTAGTATCGGTAATGATAATAGTATTAGTAGAAGTAATGTGGCATTAATTTATGATTTCGATATGAATCATTTAAATTTAATCATAAATTCGTTCCCAAATAAACAACACATACACACAAACACATACAAACATATACACATACAAACATACATATATACGAACATACTAACATATACTTACAAATACATTAATTCACGTAATATTAATAATTGATTTTTACTTAAATGGGTCTGATTATACTCCGAAAATAATAATAATAATAATAATGATAATTTATAGACCTCACTTGTTCCTGCGTGTGTGTGTGTGTGTTTATATCTGCGTGTATGTGTTTATGTTTGTTTGTGTGTATATATGAATGTGTACACAAATGTCTGTGTATGTATGTGATTGTATTTTTGTATATGTGTATGCATGTTTCTATATATGTTTATATATTTATGTGTGTTTAAGTTTTTAAGTATGTGTGTATGTCTGGGTGTATGTATTGGTGTGTATTGGTGTGTATGTGTGTGTATTGGTGGGTATGTGTGTGTATATGTGTGTATGTAGGCGTATTTGTGATTGTTTTTAATGGTTTTTTGGTTGTGCTTTGTTTATGGGCTGTTGACGGCCTATGATAGTGATGTGTTTTATGTTAAAATATTCGTTTGGTCTCTCTAAATCATTACGTGATATAATTAAATTCTTTCATTTATTTATTCATTCGTTTATTCACTCATTCGTTCGTTCGTTCGTTCGTTCATTCATTCGTTCGTTCATTCGTTTGTTCGTTCATTCATTCATTCATTTGTTTGTCCGTTCTGTCTCGTTAATAATTTATTTGTTTCTAACAATACTTAAAGATTGAATTAATTTCATTTTTTTCCTACATAGAAAATGCATCAGCGAGAAATCCCATCAAACTATCACAACAATATGAACAACAACAACAGCATCAATAGCAACCCCAGTTACAACAACAATCGTTTCGCCAGTCACCAACACCACTACCAACAACCACCACAACTACACCAGCGACAGCAACAGCAGCAGCAGCAACATCGTCTCATTAACAAGAATATGACATCAAGTTACAACCCCAGCCTCACACCAACTGCTAATATCAACAAAAACCTTGCCAGCAAAAATTCGCTACTTCTTAATAAAAGTGATTTGTTGAAGAAGTATTTGCAGCAACAACATCAGCAACAACAGCAGCAGCAGTTAAAATTTCCAACCAACACCAGCAACCCGACAGCTAATTCTCTCGCTTCAAAAAGCGTTGCCAACGTTGAAGTCAACAATTTTCAGCAACCAGAACTGAATCAGAAACAGAAACTGATTGAAAATTTGTTGCTGAATAAACAGCAAGCCGAAAATGGAAACGCTGTTTATACGACGGAGCCACATCAACAGCAGCAGCAGCAACCACAGCAGCAGCAGCAACTTGTGGCATCTTCAAAAATTGAGCAGCAACACATGGCAAAACTTTGTCATCAGAAGTCATCCCTCACTTCATCATCATTGCCGATTGAACAGCAGCTATCGTTATTATCGTTGTCATCTATCAAGTTCCAGCCACAACAGTCATCATCATCATCACCATCATCATCGTCGTCGTCATCCGCTTCATCAACATCGTCATCAACACCCCTGGATGAACAGCCACTCCAACCACCATCATCGCCATCGTCGTCATCATCTTTCTTCAAGCAACATCAGCAGCTGCAGTCAACAGCTGATGCAGCAACGTCATCGTCATCTATTTCCTCCTTCTCTTCATCCTCTCTCCCGATCAAACCACAGTACCACTTTCGCTACCAGCAGCAGCAGCCGCCAGACGATGCCGACCGCTTCAAAACAGAGTTGTGTCGCTCCTGGGGTGAGCTCGGTCGATGCAAGTACACCAATCGGTGCAAGTTTGCTCACGGTGTCGCAGAACTTCGCTCCATCGATCGCCACCCTCGCTACAAAACGACGCCGTGCCGACAATTTCACACCAGAGGTCTCTGCTCCTACGGCAGTCGCTGCCACTTCATTCACGGCGAGACTGACAGGTTGGTCCTCGCCATGCTCATCGCCGCTGCCCAGTTGGAACGCGCGAAACTGAGCCACGCGAAGATGAAGCCAAACGGAGGTGATGCCGATGCTAACCTTCCTCCGCTGCAAAGTCCTGCAAATCAAGTGAATGCGCTGCTCGGTCGGCAGATCAGTGGCTTGCTGGGGCAGCAGCTGCAGCAGCAGCAGCAGCAAGATGGTGGTTGCCACAACTTCCAGGCACTCAGTGAAAAATTTGGTAGCATCACTCAGGAGGCTTTAAACAATTCCATCAGCTCTCTCGATGAAAATGAGGTCAACCAATTAAAAGCATCCTATATAGGTTACTCGGAAAAGTTGAGTAAATTATTGGAGCAAAACAAACTTTCAGAATTCCGTCCGTCACCAATCAGCGATGTAGAAACTGGGTCAGTTAATCCGCTCTCAGTATTTGGGTCGTGTGAGGGTGATTTGAAATTCAATCTGAAAGACGGTCAGAGCATCGGGTACAATCAAAACAATGAGATCAACTTGTTGAACCAATTAAACAACTTGGAAGTAGGTCGAAGACATTTTAATGAGAACGGAGTGATGAGTAACAACAGCGCGCTGCTGCCTAATGGATTGAAACCATCCAACGATAACTTCAACGTCGTTCACACGTGTCTATCGCAACAGGAAGAACAAAACTCCCTCCCAAAAGAAGATGCTAGAATCGAAGATGCTAATGGAGAAACATTGCGCCAATATACTCTCCTCATTGAAAAGTTGAAATCGTTAACGACAGCGACTAACAACAACATCAACAACAACAACATTGGCAACATCAACAACAACAACAACAACAACAACAACATTGGCAACATCAACCCTTCAGGTAATTACAACATACAATCAATTGTTGATTTGTTGCAAAGCGTCAGTGGTTGCGGTTCAACTCCGAAAATTCCTGACAACTACTTCAATTTACCAACAACTTACAGCAGCAACAATGTTAGAAGTAACATAAACAACAACAACATCAACAACATCCTCTATAATGATCTCAACAACAACAGCAACAACAACATCATCAACAAACAACAACAGATTCCACTATGGCTACGTTGTTATTCGTTGGAGTCGGTCGAGACGTCATCCATATCATCGTCATCTGGTTCTCCTCCCATCTTTCCTTATGTTGCCTACGATCTGCCAACAACAATCAACAACATCAACAACAACATCAACAACATCAACAACAACATCAGCAACAACAACAACATCAACAACAACATCATTGCTAAAAATATCGAGAACGATTTAACGTCAGTTTTGTTTGATATACCATTGCCGAACAACTTCAACAACAACAACAACATTAATGTCAACAGTTGGTGCAACAAAAACATCAACAATAACAACATTTTTGATATTGCTGTTAGCAAATCAAACAACATTGCTTTGTGGTAGCCGCAGCTAGCTGAATAATTAATTAGCTAAATGACATTAAATGAGGGTGGCTCATTAACCTAATTAATATTCATGATGATGACTCATTAACCTTATTAATACTCATGACGGCCACTAATTGCCCCAATTAATATTTATGAGGA